GAAGCCAGGTGTGACTTATGTCGGCTGTTTCCGGTGCTTACGAATGTAGAGTAGTCCGGCGGTCCCGCGACCCCGTTCGCATCAAGCCCGCACAAGTTAATAGACGTAGGCAAGATCGATTGCAGTCTTCTCAACATTGTCAATTGGGAAGGAATCGATACGAATGTAGAATGCGAAGAAATTTTGAAGATTAGTTTCTTCCGAGGGGGAAACCGCTGACCAAAATCTTGCACACCAATGCCCACTAGTGCCCGGTGCACATTCCTTTGTCTTATCTTTCCTTTTATCCTTATAATGGCCCAGCAAGGCCTAATGCCCAAAAAATGCCTAGTAATGCCACAAATTTGTACACCACAATGCCCTCAGCGGTTTCCCCGTCGGTTTTTTCAAATTGCCAGTATTAATAATAAAATTCCAAGGTTCATTCGACCTCAGCTGGCCACAATTATCGATTAACCGGCCAGTACAGATCATTTATCGCGAAAAATATTACCTCAGCCAGGGTTTGAACCCGGGCTTCCCTTACTCTCTAGACGGGCGTCTCACCAATTCGACCACTGAGGCATGTGTGAATAAATTTTGTCACTAGTTTCTGATTAAAGTGGGATGTGGAGAAGCTCGGATGCGTTTTACGTGGGATTCTCGGGCGACTCAATGCCAGGCTTGTGCATCTTCTCGCGCGAATGTGGTGAAATGTGGGAAAACGCGATCGCGGAATACGGTCCAAGGACGCCTTCGTCGCGACGACGATGTCGTTTGCAAAGAGACCTCCCGTAGGCTTCGTGCGCAGCCGTGAATTAGATGTACGCACTACGCACGTCCGCGTATACGGCATCTCTCATTAAAAAGCGTGACGCAATTGTTTGATAGGCGCCGATCGTACGATAATTGACGAGGAGCAGTTTGCCTTGCGTAACTATTGAGTCTTTCAGCCGTGGATTAATTCGCACGCGTGCATATATTTATCGAGTGCTGCGTGCACTTGGACAAAGTAAACGACGACTCCAAACGAGTCTAATTTTCGTGAGAAACGCTTGTTTAGTTTTGTACGTTTTCGACAAATTTAAGTTTTCTGTTTATTGTGCTCGCATTTAATATTTCTAAAATTTCACATTTATATTCAATGACAAAGATATAGTGACACGAATCGTCTTTTGAATCGTTGAAAAATAGAAAAGTGCTTATTCGCGTGCGCTTTTAATGTGCAAATTGTCAACTGTTTTATCATCTTTTCGGAGACGAGACGTTAGATGCATCAAGCCATTATGCAATGCCTCAAGTCACTTGGCTACGTGTCTCGCGCTCATGTTTGCCGAATCAATCTGCATCGCGATACCCTGTGAGAACATCTTTCGTTTCTTATAAGGATAACAGGTAAAAGATATCTCGGGCAATTTCTTTCTTTTCACACCAGAGCTTTTAATCGTGATTTTTCGCAATCTAAACGAGCGAATCTGAATCCTGCGTGTATATTTGAAAAGTTAATGCGAGTCACGACATTGACTTCAACGAAATTAAACTAAATGAGCGGTATAAATGCGGTGTGAGTTGCAGTTTCTGAAAACCGCTCCCGTTAGCTCTTTCCGCGTTGATAAAGGAAGCGACAAGTCGCATAAATATTGCAGCGGAATATAACGGAGTTTCTCTGGGAGTTTCTACGTTCGCGCGCCTAGCACCGAAGGTCTAAACGCGGAATCCGATTCTCGCTGCTTTGCGAGAGACCTTGAGACGTGAGGAGAGAAAGAGAGTAGCACGTTCCGACACGCCAAATTACCGTTCGCGATCTAATCGCGATAAGGGGATTTTCGTTTACAACCTTGCCGGCGAAATTCGAGACGTATAGACAGGAAGTGTGTCGGAGACTATTGATTTTAACCAGGGCCCCTGGTCTGGCAGCTCGTATTTTGTGCCGCATTAGCCTCGCTTTTTCACAGCGAATTGCCTGGTACACAATACTCAATAACCTGTCTGCTGTTTACAAAGTATTTTTTTACGAGAAAGCCTGTATCGCGTTAAATCGAGAAATTAATTGTATCTAATTATTTACATTCTCAAGTTTATCGTACGTTTGGCATCTTTTTAGACGAGGATATCAAGATTTATATATTCCAGCCGTTCAGAACTCCCTGGCGTTACTGATTTATACAATTTATTACTTTTAAAATTATGCGAAATGTACATTTTCACCAGAGAGCACACCAGAGAGAAAGGATGTAAGAAAATCGCGGCGGGTTTATTCCTTGGTTCAAAATCTGGCGGCATAAAGTACGCTTATTGCGTAATTTATCGACTCGCGGGTCTCGAGAGAGAGCTGGATGAAAAGAGATCTTAGATACTTGGCTCGAAGAGTTAAAGGGACTTTATTGCTCTCGAGGCACTCCCGCGAAGATTTCACTTAAAAAAAGCACGCGATGCCACGTGACGTGTCTCGAGAGCGTGCTCGCGCCGAAAATACTCGCGCGCCGATTTCTAACACATGAAACGCACATGTTCGCTGTGTTCTCGGCTGCTGCTAATACTACGCTCCGAGGATGACAAGATCCCCCCGCCCACGTGAAATATTGTGCGTCTACCGATGATCTTCTCGGCTTCGTAAAATTCGAAGGTCGTCCGCGTTTCTACATTTCTCTCGCGAGGCTTCTCCTACGCGCACCTACACGCTGTCCTCCGTTCTACATTTACAATTAGTTTTGTCAGCCCGATTGAGCTGCATTCGCTGCTGCATCGATTTCTACTGTCGACTCTTCGCTCGATAATGTCTTAACTCTGTGTAATGAAAAGTATGCGTATTAAATTGCTTCGTGACAAAACAATATTCCGATGGAATCGGTTAGGATCGGTGACATGGAAGCGTCGAAGGACGGCAAAAATTGGCCCGAGATCGAAGGGGTCTCGTGAAGCTCGGCCGGAAGAACTCATTGTCAGCGTGACTAGTCCCATGGTCCCCGTGGGGCGCGAAGAGGTCTAGACTAGCTGGCGTGGGTAGCGGCAGCCGGCAAGTGTTCTTGCTTTCCCTGACGCCCTGCCGTTGCCACCCTCCTCCTGGGGGCTAGGCCCTTATGTTCTCCCCTCACGCACGAGGGCGAAAAGCACGAGAGCCCCTTAAAAGAGCGCTCCATGCACCGATGCAACCTGAGGTGTGTCGGTGCGTACGCAATCCCGGGCGCTCTTCTTCGCAATTTGTTCCTCCAAGAAGATAAAGATCGTACGCGAGGTCAATAACGAAACAAAGGATGCAACTGGAAATTGCGCCATAGTATTCTTTTGGATTTTATACTAGTTGGTCATCGAGGTCGTTGGCCAACTGTCGAATAATAAGTTTTCGCGCGTCAGTTTCTATGTTATAAAGTGCAAATTTTTATCAGTATTCCGCGGCGTAAGCATTACATTAATTGAAACGTTCGTCACGTCACTTACATTTCGCTTACAAATAAAAGAAGTGTAGAGATTTGTTGTACTTCCTTAAAAGAGCACGGGATAACTGTTCGCTTATCGGATCATGCACATCGCGTACACGCTCTAAATCCGTATCGCGTACATTGGCGGAAGTGCGTGAACCGTCGCTCTCTTATACAATACATCGCTGATTGATAATACCGTAGTACGTAGCGATGCGCGTATACATTAATTGCGTATGCCGGATGTTGGAGCCTGTGCACGTTGGTTGCGCACTATCGAGTTGCGTTACACCGAGGACAGTATTCGGGCGAGTCATGGTCATGATACGTATAGTGGCAGAGTTCAAGATAGTTGAATACGTTAAATAGATTACTAATATCCGTATTCATAGTCGTTCCTCCATTCTCAAGGTTAGTCTGTCTTTGTCTCGCTACTACGTTTTACCATACGCGAGACAAAGACAAACTACCCTTGAGAATTGAGGAACGACTATGAATACGGATATTAGGCTCGGTTTCACCAAGCTCTTTGCCACTTTTCAACTGTTACTTTAGGAAGAGACAAACGTGAATTAAACTACGATCTAAGTTAAACGACGTTTGGTGAAATTGGGCCTAAGGCCCGGTGGTTTAGCTTTAAACTTAGCTTAATTCGTTCTTTGCCTCTTTTCAACTATTCCTTTAGGTAGAGACAAACGTGAATTAAACTACGATCAAAGTTAAACGAC